GAGAAGGGTAGGGGTTCGCGCCCCCATCTGGAGGCAAATAGGGGTCACGTCCATTGTAGGCATTTCTCACCGGCTCCAAGCGGCCTCAGGCTGAGGACGCAGGCTGAAGCAATTAGCAACTAGACAAAAACAGTGGAGTCTCTGAGCTTGGGACAGTGGAGTCTCTTGAGCTCATTTCCCTCACCGCAAAGCAACATTGACCCTTAGGCCCTTAGACTTGACGTTTCCATGGTTGCCATTTTCCTCTGCCGCGCTGCCCAACGCCCGGGGCCGGTCCGTCGGATCGCACGGGTTTGATTCATCGTCTCCATCTGAAGAAACATCCAAACATCCTGGTGCATGGTGAATGAGGATGGGTGATGACATGTTCACCTATTTTTGTCTTTGGTGGGAAATGCCGTGAGGTGTTCGGGGTGTGGCTGTTTACCCGCCAATCTGAGGAGGTAACAAAAACACCTTAAGGAATATGTTCCTATACACTAGGCTAGGGTGATTCGGTTCGCTTCATCACGCTCAGAACCGTCCCATCCTAGCGGCTGTGGCCATTCAGCTTCTTCTGTGCACATGAGGGAAGCACGGTGCCCATTCCTCACATCGGAGGTGGCTTCGAAGCACCTCTTGCGATTTCTAGGTGGTGAAGATTGCTGGCACCCGACGCAGTTTGGCAACCATCTGGAATCTGTGTCTACGCATCTGCTACGAAAAGGGTCAAACGGGTAAGTGACTCATTGTCATTGTTCTAGTATAGTTATAGTTACTATTTAGATCTATTTATATATAATTAATTATATAGTCCCGTGATGTCCTGTCTGAACACCACAGGAGCAATTGAAAAACACATCCGCTGCTGCAGTTGTGTAATGACCAGCAATTCGTCACAACCCCCAACACCGCTAAAGCTTTGCCCAACCTCCATCCGACTGCAAATGAGCGTGGACCAAAAGGTCTGATTAAAAACCTGCGCGTAAGGGTCTGCTTACGATAGTGCTTCCGCTGTACTTACTCGACCACTGTTTTTGCTCAAATGGACTCATTGCCAAACGGTTCCCCCCAAAGAATCCAACCCTCTCAGCCGAAAGACCTCGACCAGCCGCAGGCAGCGGCCCCACCGACGCCGCCGCGGCCGCCGCGGCCAATGGGTGGGCACGGCCTCGGTTGGGGCCTCTGGGGTCGGCATCCTCGGATTTCCAGGACTTCTCAGACTCGGAGTCGGGACTTCCCATGGCGTGACGGCCAGGGGAGAAGCAGCGACCGTTTGACTGTACCTGAAGCAGCAGCTGCTGTGCGAAACAAAGCTGCAGCTGCTGTGCGTGGGGAGGTGTGTTCAGTTTGGGGCGGAGGGTATCTGATATGGTTGCTGTCTTTCTTCCTCCGGTCGCCGGTGAACCCAACATGCGGGTTCGCTTCATGAGTGGTCGGCATGTCGACATGGGCCTGAAAGCTCGTGAGCTGCGTGAACGAAGAATGGCCGCATAAATTGAGCCCGCCAAGAGTTGATTGAAGAGGTGAAGAGGCTCATATGACTCATATGGCTATAGCTATAGACATCTATAGGCCATAAATAATAACCATAAGTATCATCTCTTCGTGCGCCATTCTTCATCTCTTCGTGCGCGAAAACATCCGCTGAAACCTGTACGACAGTCTCCCTCACACTGAAATACACCCACAAAGACTGCACTTGGCGTCCACATTGGTGGAAAGGCCCAGCAAGAAAAACACGATAAGCATTGACATTGATATGCATAGTCTTTCCAAAGCCGTGCACAGATTTGGGGCATTCTTTGGAACAAAACATGGGGCATCATGCTCACTCAGAAAGACGGCATGCTCCAGATGTCTGAACCAATGTGTGAACTTTCTCTGCGACTCTGTAACCTACCTGGATCACTTGATCGACCAAATGTGGCCCAATGACCTACGGCACCTGCTCTTCAGACTGATAAGCATGGAACAACATGGATTCCATGGAACAACTGATAAGCATGGATTGCAGGAACAACTACCAGCGAAGGGTGTCAAGTATTGCCACCCCCCAAAAAAGTAAACTAAGCCGATCTAAGCCGTTAAGGCCACAGGTGCTTCGGGTGCTGAACGGGGGCCAGGTTACGCGGCTACACCACCCCGCTACTTGCGGCGTCCGGTCTCCGACCTCGAAGGCGCCCTGCAAACGAGAGATCTCCGCAGCAAACAAGAGGCCACGGGCGGCTTCCTGGCCGAACGAAAACGAGCGACCGAACACTCGCGGCGGCCGAACTCGCGAGTATGGGTTTCTTGCTACCTCCCACTTGGTCTGACCTCCCAAAAAAGAAGCCCGCCTTCTCATCGTCTTGGGCAGCTTGCCTACATCCTGATCTGCTTGAAGGGTCTGAAGCCCTTGGAAAAAGTGTTCTGGAGGCCCAAATGGGTGCCCCGCCACCGGCGGAATCTGAACCATTGAGAACTGGGACATCCTGGAATCCAATGCGGCATGAGACTTCGATATGATGTGTAGGGACTCAGTGACTTATATGTGTGTGTATCGGCATAGATGTGTTAAATACCTTGCCATGTCACATCTCGCAAAACCCCAACTGGCCCTGAGCACAATCTTTAGGCGCCTTCAACTCTGTAACTCTGCTTCAGACATCTTCAAACCAAACCAGCTCTCACATCTTCTATAAGTGCCAGCGGCTTTGTCCAAGCGTGGTCATCAAAGGCTAGTGAACATCGATGCAAATGATACAAAAACCGGCAAATCGATTGGCACCAAGTGCTTGGTTAGCTACCCAATGTTTGAAATGCAGTACTTGTACCAAGTCGGGACGCTCCGACTCACTAACATGGAAGTGGAAAATCACCTGTTTGTAAAGGAAAGTAGTCTACCAAGTTACCAAGGGCCGATGATCCACATCCACGTTGGTGAGTCACGGCCCTTCACCCTCAAACAGTCCTTCTTTCCGCCCCGACCCCGGTGCCCGGTCCTCAGCTGCTTCACCCTCGTGCTCTTCCAAAAGCTTCCTGCGACAAGTCCATCCAAGCCCAAACCATCCCATGGCCATGCATGACTATACTACCGACCGGTGACTTAGGACTTGTGTGGGCTTAGCATATGGTGACTTAGGACTCACTAGTCGAGAGTATATGTACAAGCTTATAGCATTGGGTATATGTATGTATATGTCCCTCACTGTGGCGTCTGACATGCTATGACGTATAGCATATTTACCCATCAATTGGGGTGGTTTCAGGGGTCAATGTATGTTTATGACTGACAGTCGCATGGGATGGTCTGGGAAGGCTCATTGGCCCAGCTTCGTTGAACTTAGAACCCTCGACGGAAGGGTCCATGACGGAAGGGACCTGGAAGATGTAACGGGTGGTTAGGGGTCCATGAGCCTCTGTTCAGATTTTGGGTTAGAACCGGTAGTCAGCTGCCAAAGAACATCTGTTGGCTGTGGTTGGCCGGGGGAAGGTTGTTTGTCTACTAATTCCTCCAAGCATGACGCACCCGACCCTCGAAGGTGGAACCGCTGAACGCCGACGAGTGGCCCTCACGCTGAGTTTCTTTTTTTACCTGTCGAGGCGTGCACTGCGGACCTCTGACTCACGCCGAGTGGCTCTTTCAGTCGCCTCTTCTCTTCACCAGGCATGGTGTGGAGCACATGGATCCTCCAAAGCAAGGACACGGCCTCGAACTTCCGGACACGGCATGCCTCGCTCCCTTTTTCTGTTACCGACCCTTACACCATGGTTGCTGGACAGAACCCAAAGGGTTGATGGACAGAACCCAACAGGTCGAGGATCTCGTTTTACATTTGGTCATACAGTGATACAAACCACTAGTCAATGAGGTAAAGGACTAGGTTTTACTGGCTTGTTGGACCTGTACGGGAAGAGTTCACGTATCGGTAGCTGTGAAAGCTCCCGACTTGCTTGAAATAACATGCGGCCTCCATAGTTCTCATTTGTGTTACTCCAACATTATGCATTCATTGTATGAACAGCTTGTGGTGGGTCTCGCTTCACGTTTCCCTAAGCTCAAATTCAAAACCACAATCACACAAGTCAAATGTCCCATGGTAAGTCATATACCTGAGCAGCCGTATCTGGCACCAACAACAAGTACCACACTCTGAAAACCACGCGTGCAACTCCAAATTCGCGTGTTTGCACTCCCAGCGGGTCTTGAGCATGGATATCTCCACCAATTCCAACAATGCCCGGCGCGGCGTGGTACACGAACTGGGCCCAAACTCCTTCACCTGGCTCCGCCGGATGACCAAGGTTGGACGAACTGAAGGAACTGGCGAATGCCCATCGATGGATGTATCAAGCTGTGCACGTGCTGCAAAAGCATGTGCGCTGTGCACGTTGTGTTGAGAAGCTTGGCTCTTTCTAAATGGTGTGTGGAAGTGTGATCACCAACGCCAATGTAATTACACCAAATGTCTCATGATTTCTCCCTCAAATTAGGACATATATTAGCATCCACCATTCAAACAATCCTTGCTTGCAAGGCTTTCGGACAATCCCCTCCCTCCCACGATTTTTCAGGCATTCATCGGCATTCCTACCGTTCCTTCACAAGGAAAACGGAATGACTCTCCGTCGACAATGGCTCTCAAGGACTCTCCCCGCAGGCCTTGGCAAAGGCCAGGTCATCTTCGGGTGGCCAATTTCCTCGGGCGGTTTTTGAAACGAGGACGGGCCGAGGGCGGGGGGTCCGACGCGGACCGTGACGGGGGCGCGTTGAGGGCCGCACTTAGAACTCACTCAACAGCCACTTCATGTCACTTCTGAAGGTCTTACTGCGCATGTCGGCATGGAAGACCACGCTGTCCACTTCCAAAGGGATCCAAAATGATCCCAAAGACACTGTTTGAGTTGCCACGAGGGGTCCAAGTGTTGGCGCCCATTCCCCCAAAAGCATAAAAGTCGGAGATTCGAACTTTGCTGTGTTTTTTGTTTTTTTCAGGACTTCTTCTCGCACCATTCCACCCGATTTGGCAGGGCATCTGAGACTAAAGTCAGACTCCAAGCATTCAAACTCCAAGTCTCTTTTCCGCATCTTCGAGTATTGCTGCACACGCTCGAAGTTGGGTCGTGCCTCGGCAGCCTGTCCACTGACCACTCGGCACAGGCCAGCCAGGTAGGACCTCAGCTTTACAGCAGCTTTACATTGGTTTCAACCCCCCAGCCCAGCCAAGCCTTGCATTTCTTTGTGATTGACCAGTCTCTATATACATATATATAATATATATAATTTGTCAGAAAATTTGGCCCCACATTTGCCTGGCCAATGTGGCTCCGAATGCAATTGTTTTCAATGATGCTGTCCGGCACGTCAGAAGCGCCATCCTGCTCTTTATGCTTCCAATGTAAAAACTTACAAAGTGATCCAGCTTCTTGTCAAAACGTGATCTTCCAAAAGTCATGTAGGACCAAAGCTCTCCAATCCCATGCAAGAGCCTATCCGTTTTTCCGACAACCACCACCAAAAAAACACATATATTGGACTTGGCTCGACTCATGTCCAGGGAGAATGAACTTATCAAAAACAGCACAACCCGACACCATGAGCAGCCACATAGGTGCGGCACACAGACTTTAGGTTGTTCCTTCCCAATTGATCCCAAACCAACTGCTGGTGGACACATTCCCTGTCAGAAGCCTAGAAATTTCCTGAAATGAGAGCTGGCAACATCAAATCACTAGCCTGGAGAAAACTCTGGAGCACGTACAAACCATGGGCATGCAACTGAGCAAACACCGTCAGTCTCCCTTAGATGATTCTCCTCAACAAAGAAACCCAGGGTGGATTGTCAAAAGAGACATTCGCGAAAGTCAAACTGAAAGTCGAACCATGCGTGCTGAAAAGTCCCAAACATTTTCCATGATTCATCACACAGTCGCTTCAGTCGCTTCCAAATTCGACTGATGTCCTTTTGCATGACGGAACTGCCCGGTCCGCCCATCTGCCAGGCGACAAGGTCGGAACGTAGGAGCGCCGTTGGCGCGCTACAGAGACCGCCAAGGATTCCTCAAAGCCACTGGCGGCCTCGGGCCACTCCAGCAGGGCCAAGGAGAACCTGGGTTACGGTCGTGGGCGTGACTGGCTAAAGAAGGCCTGGAAAACACTGAAACCTCATCTGTTCATCCCCTTTACAATTACCCCTAAGGGGTCAAGGCCCCATTTTGTAGGTATAAACCTGCGGGGTGTACCCCCCCCCCTACAAAATGAGTAGGGGTGTCAAAAAGTAGGCTGTACAAACTGACCGGTCTAAGCACCAATGCCCCGGGTAGCTGCCCATCTCAAGGTTAGACATTATGCAGGGGTCAAGCCCCGATGTTTTATATGAAATTCACTGTTCAAAGCGGATCTCTGGCCTCAAGATGTCAAAAACCAAAGACCCATTTTGTAAGGACATAGCTGCTGGATTGCTGCTGGGTCTTTTTTTAGCGTTCTGCCAGCCGATCCATGTCCGTTCAGATCCCCTATCTGTAGGACAAAGTATCTGCATCGCCGTTGTTGTCTATTGCATTTCATGGGTCCAAGCTGCTGGTGGATAAATTAGTGAACTTAGGGTAACGTGCATGCTTGTAATGGGCACCACATAGAAAACATCTGGGTTATATATGGAAATGTCTGAAACGTTGTTAAATTAGCTACTATGCCATTGCTGTGAGTGGCAAACTCATGTTTTGTGATCCTTCCCTTTTTGTTGGGAACATCAACATCCTTCTCCATTCTTTGGTAGGCCCCCTTTTTGTAAGAGGTATCTTTGCAATATTTCAACAGTGTATGATTTTTGTTTTGAAAAGCTTGACGCCAACCCTTTTT